ATGGGCCCAGATATCCAAAGATATAACCAAGTCATCAACCAGTGCAGGCATCACCAGAAAGTGATGAGAACCCTGCTGAAAAATGATCCTACCCATTTTGAGTGGATAGAAAAGGCTGAAGATAATAAGAACTGTGTACATGATAAAAATTAAAAGAAAATATGACTCAAAGTATTGGCAGATTTGAAAATGTAATTTCAATTTTTCAAACATGAATAATTCCAAGGAAGAAAAAAAAAACCCAAGGAAGTTCCTAAGGAAATCATATGTATTCTTTTTAGAAATCAAATGTATTCTGTAAGGAACATTCTAAAGGCTAAGATTTTTATTGTTATATATAAAGATATCCACAATCTAAGGGCAGTCCTGAACCATAAAATTATTAATGGGAGTTAATGTCTCACATGATCAAAGAATATACAGATAATAAAACATGGCTTATTAAAGGTTGTTACGAAAAAGATCAGCCAGGTGGTTCAAAGCCAGCCTGGGAAATTTAGCAAGATGCTGGTACCAAATAAAAAAGTGAAAAAAAAAAGCTGGGAATGTAGCCCAGTGGCTCTGGATTCAACCCCCAGTGTACCACTGAGAAAGAGAGAGAGAGAGAGAGAGAGAGAGAGAGAGAGAGAGAGAGAGAGAGAGAGAACTCCTGCACGAGCGCTCTCTTATGACTTAGGTTCTTATGGTTAGTTCTATGACTTGCAACAAGTCTTTCTGGGCCTTATTTATACTCAAGAATTAGAATGAAATAATTCTAAAAGAAAAACTAGGTAACATTAATTCTTATTGTGCAACTTGTAGAGACACTGTCTCAAAAGTAAAAATTAAAAAGGGATTAGCCATGTGGTAAAGTGCTTCAGAATCATTCCCTACTGTCACAAAACATAAGTAAATAAATGAATAAATTGAAATATTTCTGTCTGAAATGCTATATTTCCAATAAAAATTCAACATTTGTTGTTTTGGCCATTTTTTATGTATTTTGGGTGCTTCTGAATAAAATATTAAAATGCCATATTTATGAAATATTAATACTATCGATCGCAAACTGTCCATCTTTGTTATTTTTAAAATTGAGGTAGATAAACTTTAGCAGATAAGCTTTAGTAGATAATTTTTAAAAAACTAGGTTATTTAAAAATATTCCTTCAGAATCCAATGTTTTTATCAATGTAGATCCATAGACAAAATAGATGCTGCAGGATGTGAAGTAGAAAAATGATGAGACATTTAAATAGTAGGAGAATTTAACATACCATTCTCAGTATCATTCAGATCACAAGAAAGCTTGGAGGACTAAAATAACATAATCAACAAGCTTTATTTTATATATATATATATAACACTATACCCTGATAACAGACGAAACCTTCTTCACCAGCTCTTGTGGAGCAGTCACAAAAATTTTTCATATATTTGGGGTACAAAGAAAGTACCCATTAGTTCCATAATGGAAAAAATGGTACAAACTATTCTATTTGATCATTTTGCAGTAAAAGTTGAAATTAAAAAGAAGTTAAAAAATATCTTCGCCCTAGAAATTTAAAAAGTTTTAATTAAAAAACAGGCTAAGGGCTGGGGTTGTTGCTCAGTGGTAGAGTGCTTGCCTAGCACACATGAGGCACTGGGTTTGATTCCCCAGCACCACATAAACAACAACAACAACAAACTAAATAAAGGTATCATGTCCATCTACAATTACAAATAAATAAATAAATAGAAACTGGCTAAAGAGGAAATGCAAGAGAAACTACAGATTAGTAAAAAGTAATCATCATGAAACATTACACATTGAAATATATTTGATCATTTAAAGTAATCATCAGAAGATAATTCATAGCCTTAAATGCTGCATCAATATAGTTTAAAAATTAAAAAAATGAATTACCTCTCCAATTCAAAAAGCTATTAAAAAGTACTGCAACATAAACTAAATGAAAGGTTGAAGTTGAAAATAATAAAAATGAAAGCAGAAATTGAGTTAAAGAAAATTAGAGATAGAATTAATAAACTGAAGTCTGGGTTCTTTGAAAATGATCAACAAAATAGATAAATCTCTAGCAAGTAAATCAAGATAAAGAGGGAAAGAACATAAATATATAAGAAGAAATGATACCAGGCACGGTGGTGCATGCCTGTAATTCCAGTGGCTTTGGAGGGTGAGGCAGGAGGATCATGAGTTCAAAGCCAGTGTCAGCAAAAAGGAGGTGCCAAGCAACTCAGTGAGAGCCTCTCTAAATAAAATACAAAATATGGCTGGAGATGTAGCTTAGTGGTAGAGTGCCCCTGAGTTCAATCCTGGTACCCCCCCCCAAAAAAAAAGTTATTGATATTGAAGAAATTATTTTAATATACATCATAAGAGATTATATTATGCTTTCATATATACATAACTTTGAAAACTTAGATGAAATAATTTAACAGGAAAAATAGTTTCCTAAAGTTGAGCATATAAAGACAGAAAGATTAGATTACCGGTTTCCATTGGGGGAAAAAAAAAAAGAAAAATGTCAAGGAAATCACTCCATTTAAGTACAAGACCCAGATAGTACTGAGAGAGTTTACCAAAGCAAGAACAACATTGACACCTGAACCTGATTAAGATATGATAAAAAGAGGTAATTATAGACCAATATCATATACAAATATTAATACAAAAATCCTAAATATTGTGAATGATCTACAGTTCTAATATATGAATAAGTAATTTTTATGCAAAGAAGGAAAAAGATGGCTCAATATTAGATAATAATTAATATGAATGGGTTTATGCTTTCTAACATTATAAAATAAATATATACCTCAATCATAAATTCAGATTTTAGCTAATGAAGAAACACTAAAAACTATTTTCTCTAAGGTTAGGAATGAGGCAAGAATGGCCATATCAGTGAATTAGTCCATTTGATGGATTATAATTTGAATAAGCTACTGGGAGATGTGAAAATTTAGGCATGTGGGACATGGTTGGCGGAAGGTCACTTGGAGCATCCCCTTGGGGATTATATCTTATTCCTGGTCTGCCCCTGTTCCCACCACTCTCTTCTTCACTCCCTCCCGCCTCTTCCTGGATGCCATTGGCTGATTCCTTTGCCATAATCTTCCATTATGATGTTCTGGGTCACCTCAGGCCCAAAGCAATGAAGTCAACCCATCAAAGACTGAAACGGAGCCCAAATAAATGGTTCCTCCTTTAAGTTGCTATTGTCAGGTATTTTGGTTAGAGTCATAAACAACTAACACACAAGTTTCATCATTGTAGCAGCACCTGAGTTGATGAATATGGAGGGCTTGAATAAGTTGGGAAAAGAAAACATCTTGTAACCATCATGATGAGATTGGCAGCAAACATACTCACAGGAATCTAAACCATAAGGCAAAGCTTGATTAGAAGTTGGATATTTGTTTGGTCTTACCTTAATCTTAACCTGTAAGTATTACCTAACAGATTGTTTATTTGTTGCAAAGGGAAAATATTAGGTTGGAGGAACTTGACAATACATTGGTGGGGTAAAAAAAGTTATTATCACCTTATAATGGATAGACATTCTTTGACTCTGTGATACTGAGAAGGCCACAGTCTCACGTGGTTGTTTCAAAGGAGGATGCATAATTTGTATCTAATCATAAGAAAAACTTTTAGTGGGAATTTGTGTTTGAGAAAGTTTCTTTGCAAAGGGATAGATAGCTTTGGTGAGTCTCTTGGTCACAAAGGTGTTAAATCACCAAATGCAATATTATCGCATATTTGGGACCCAGAAAAAATTATTTCAATATGAAAAAATTAGTTAGTTCCTTGTAGGGTCTCCAAATAACGGGGAAGTAGGGATTGAAGGGCAGTCTAGTGGGAGTGGGAAGTGGGTTGAAGAGAAAAGGGTTCCTCAATTGAAGATTGTTATATTAAAAATAAGGCTGAAGAACTGACAAACACTTGTATAGCACTTATTATTACCAGAAGTTCGCTATTCTAAGAATTTTTCACATATTGACTCTTTTAATGGGAAAATTTAGTAAGTGGTCTTTATTTTCCCAAACAAAAGACACTAAATGATTTTTCTCGTGTTTTTACGTTTTGATTTCCTACACTGCAGGGATTATCTCCTTCGCCAGAAAAGCATGAGCTTAAAATTTTGCCTTGTTGGTCTTTCCTAAAAACGAGGGCAACTCAAGTCTGCAATACGAAACATTTCGTCCTCTTTGAAAAGCCGACTGCCGCAGAGGAACTTGGGCGTTTATTAACCGGCTCCGGGCACTCCTTTTCTCTTTCCCTTTAAGGTTGAAAGCCAGAGGGCGTAACTGCTTTTTTCCTTTTTTTTTTTTTAACTAAAGTCGGTGTTTTCAAATAACTTCCCAGCGCCAGATATAGGAACTCCTTCCGGTCTACGATTGTTAACCACAAAGTGCGTAGGTCACGCGGTGGATTCTGGGAGACCGAGTCTCCATGCTGTGAGGTTCACAGCATCTGTGAGAATACCGGACTTCAATTCCCACAGTGCCTGGCGAGGATCTGTAGTTCCTGCCTGGGAAACCGTGCGGTGGCCGCCATCTTGCGTACGGAGGTGCGGCTGGTTACCCTTATTCTGACGGCGGCGGGGCGTTTATTCTCTTCAGCTTTCTGCTTTGTGGCCGTGTCTCGGCGTTTCTTTCACCTTCATAAAGGTTCGTGTCTCTGTAGGAGATGCTTTTCTTTTTTTTGGTGGAGGGGCAGGTAAAGGTCCATTCAGAGCTGTAGAATAAAGTACGTAGACACCCCATTTTAGATGAGGTTGGATTGGTGGCGTTTGGGGTTTGTTCCTTTTGCGCTTAGCGACTGGGGTTGTCGCTGACTCGGCCGGAACCCTTAGGTTAACTGTTAACATAGGAGTCTGGAGTGAACTGGAGCCCCAGAAGCCTTCAAAGTCCCTAGACACGACCCGAACTTGTCTCCGTTGGAGCAGAGGAACTGGGCGACGCACTTTGGGCCCGGCAGCTCTCTTTGGAGGTCAGGAGGCCGTGGGATCGCGGCCTAGGTTGTGAATGGGTCACACTCTTCACGCGACCCTCTTATTCTTCCTCGAGACGCTTCTGACGTTTTTAATGAGGAGGGGCAGCTGAGAGGTGGCTCGGGGCGAGGGCGGGGACGGGGACTGTTTCCGGGAGGCTTGGGTTGACCTGGTTTTGTACCTTTCCTGAGCCTCAGTGGCCTGCCTGCTTTAGTCTCTCGTTCAACTTTTTGCATTTTACTTCTTTCTCTCTTTACTGAGGAACACCAGAGGTGTACGGAGCAAAGCAGACTTTGGGGTTTCTCATAAATTTCAAAAAAAAAGCAAAGTTTATTTTTGAGGTAGACCAACTAACTGGAAAAGAGACCATTTGAATTTGGGGGAGTTACCAGATTTCTTCTCTAAGTGTAATGTGTTTGCGTCACCATCAGAGCAATGCAACTGAAGTTATCCTTTTTTCCCCGTCTTTCAGTTACCACCCTACACCTATCGGAAAATTTTCACACTACCCACAGGAAAAGGGCCCACAGAAACAATCTCCACGTTTGGTTGCTAAAGAGATGTGATTGAGGTTTGGAAGATGGAGCCATATAACCAAAAGGCATAGTGCTTTTAAACAGGATCTAAATGTCGGTTTTTGGCAATTGTTTTGGTAACTGGGGCTGCTGAACCACATCCCCAGCCTATTTTATATTTTATCTAGAGACAGGGTCTCACTGAGTTGCTTAGTGCCTCCCTTTTTGCTGAGGCTAACTTTGAATTCCTCCTGCCTCAGCCTCCAGAGCTGCTGGGATTATAGGCATGCAGTTTTATTCTCTTTACTCTTGTATATGTATGTCATAAAAGTATTTTATTGATTCTGCTTTTCCAAATCTAAATTGTTAAGCTCACTGAATTCATAAAAGGATAATTTAAAGATAGGTTATATTAAAAAAAAGTACTTACCTTTAATGAGACACCCTTCCATAAATTAGTATAACATTAAATAAGTGGTTATGAAATTATAATTTGACTAATTTTTTTTTGTGTGTGTCTTCATATATGTACTTAGGGTAATGATGCCCATCTCATTCCACTGTTTTTCCTGCTCTCATGTCCCTCCTTCCCCTCCCTTTTTGCCCTAAGAGTTCATCTAATCCTCCCATACCTTCCATCCCCAAACCCATTATGAATCAGCATCTTTAAATCAGAGAAAACATTCAGCATTTGTTTTTTTGGGATGGGTTAGCTTCACTTAGCATTATATTCTCTAACTCCATCCATTTATGTGCAAATGCCATGATTTTATTCTCTTTTAATGCTGAATAATATTCCATTGTGTATATATACCACATTTTCTTTATCCATTCATCTACTTAAGGGCATCTAGGTTGGTTCCCTGGTTTAGCTATTGTGAATTGTGCTACTGTAAACATTGATGTGGCTGTGTCCCTGTAGTATGCTGTTTTTTTAAGTCCTTTTTGTATATAGACCAAGGAGAGGGATAGCTGGGTCAAATGGTGGTTCTATCCCATGTTTTCTGCGGAATTTCCATACTGCTTTCCATATTGGTTGAATCATTTTGCAGTCCCACCAGCAATGTATGAGTGTGCCTTTTTCCCCCATATCCTTGACAACACTTATTGTTGCTTGTATTCTTGATCGCTGCTATTCTGACTGTAGTGAGATGAAATCTAGAGTACTTTTGATTTGTATTTCTCTAATTGGGAGAGACTATTGAACATATTTTCATGTATTTGTTGATGTATGTCATTTTCTGAGAAGTGTCTACTCAGTTCCTTGGACAATTGATTGATTGATTAATATTTTGAGAAGATGATACCTTTAAATACTTTTTTTTTTTTTAAAGAGAGAGTGAGAGAGAGGAGAGAGAGAGAATTTTTAATATTTATTTTTTAGTTCTCGGCGGACACAACATCTTTGTTGGTATGTGGTGCTGAGGATCGAACCCGGGCCGCACGCATGCGAGGCGAACGCGCTACCACTTGAGCCACATCCCCAGCCCCACCTTTAAATACTTTTATCACAAATTTAAATATCTTTAATTCTTCATTTATGAAGAAACTTAGAGTTTTAAAATAGTAGCTAGTAAGTGTATAATATGTTTACTCCTCAGATGCCTTATGGTGAAATTGAAGCTAAATTCTTGGGACCTGGAGAAGAATTAACAAATGAGCCATGCTATAAAAAATTGAAGTCAACTGCGGAGGATTATGTTTTCCCTGATCATGGTAGTGCTTCTTTTCACAGAATCCAAGAGAAAACTGGAAACAATCGGGATACTGCAGCTATCATTGATGGCAGAGGACATAGTTGTCCTCAGGAGGACAAAACCCAAAGTACAAAGTTGTTGAAACCTGTGTGCGATAGACTAAATGTTATTGAATCCATTGGTTCACAAGTTTTACAGGATGGAAACCCTTCATTAGTATCCAGAGATGATGAGATATATAGCACAAGTAAGGCATTTATAGGACCCATTTACAAACCCCCTGAGAAAAGGAAATGTAATGAAAAGAAGAATAAGGCAGATACTCTGAGTGGTATAAATGACAAGGGAAGACTAGAGGAGAAACAGAAGTTTAACTCAAAAAAATTAGAGATTGACACAGAACTAACCCAATTTTACAAAGAAATTGAAGAACTTGAAAATGAAAAAGATGATTTGGAAGTCAGTTGTAAGAAAGTTGAACCTTCTCAGGAACAACTTATTCAGTATTACCAGGGCCATAAAAATGATGTCTTAAAATCTGATGAAGAAAATAAAGATCTTAAGAATGCTCTTGAGTTGCCTTGTGGTTATCAGCAGTACTTGGGGAATGAGGCAGGCAAATATACCTGTGATGGACAAGTAATTCCTGCATTTTGTGATATTTCTTTTGCTTCCTTCAGGCCTGAATGGCAATCAACACATCCTTTTATAGTACCCCATGGTCCTCCTCTTCCCAGTTTGAACTATCACTTAAATATTCAACAGTTCAGTGCTCCTCCAAATCTACCACCAAATGTTTTCCATGCCCAAGATGACTCTCTTATGCGAAATGGGTATGATGTACATAATTGTCATGTTAACTGGAGTTGTTTGACTTTTGATCAGAACAATGAGTATACTGACTGTATTGAGAATAACAGTAGTAGTATTCACTCTGGAAATGGCTGCAGTGTGCAAGATGGATATGTGAGTAACAGTTTCTATGAAATCAGAGAAGGATGCTGGAAAGATCCTTCTATGGACAAACATAGTGGAATGGACAGGTTTGTCAACCAGCAATTTCAAGAGGAAAAGTTAAATAAATTGCAGAAGTTACTGATTCTTTTAAGGGGTCTGCCTGGTTCTGGGAAAACAACGTTGTCTCGGTAAGTAAAGGATACCAAGTGAGTACTTGGTGTGATTCATTATTTAAAAACCATAAATGATTTGTAACCAGTGATAAATGCTTTCATGTTTCTACTACTAGAAAATCTTTTGATATACTTGAAAATGGAATCTGAAAATTTATGGATAGGGGAAGGAAAATTTGGCATATTTATTTATATTCTGCTGAGGGCTTTAAAAATAGATGCACCATGTATAATTATGACAGTAATGAAAGCAAATGCTACTTGAGAACTTTGCTGACCTTCCCTTTTTAAGTCAGCTATTGAAAAGTTGGACTCAGATTTGGGCTTTGATTCAGTTATTTCATTTGTGACATTGGGTGAGTTTTAATGTCTGTTTATGGAATGAGTGTCATTTAACATTTTTTTTCTGGATTTATTTTGAGAAACAAATGAGATAATCCAAGGAAAGGCATTTTTAGTGAGTTCAGCTTTCTGTATCATGTTCATACCACTGACTGGAAGAGTAAACAAACCCTTTTGGGTTTTTTGTTTTGTTTTGTTTTTAATTCAAGGAATTTGAAGTGAGAATTATCTGAATTAATGGAGTGAGAGCAATTTTTTTTATTACAATACATATCAAATTCCTGATTTTATTTAGTTGTATTTATTTATTTATCTTTAGTACTGAGGACTGAACCCAGGGGCTCTTTACCACTGAGCTACATCTCCAGCTCTTTTTATTTTTTATTTTGAGCCAAGGGCTTTCTAAATTACTGAGGGCCTTGCCAAGTCACTGAGCTTTCTCCTACCTCAGCTTTCCAAGTGACATGTGCCACTATCTCAGCTTTTATTTACATTTTAAACAGAATATTGATGCAGTTGAATGTACAGTTGTAAAAAATAGCTCAGAGAAAGCAATTCAATTTTTTTGCAGTTTATATAGGATTCATGCCAAAGACAAATAAAATTTAATTGATATCTTTGGGTGAGGATAAAAAATGTCTATGAAATTGTTTTGCTTATATTTTATATTCACTTATAAGAAGATCTCAACAATCTTAAGTTTATTCAGAAAAAATAGAGAAAGATTCAATTTATAATATAGATATTTTACTGTAGATTATAAGCAGTGATCTTTGAATTTAAACTTTGGACTTTGCATTTTGGTTCCTTTGACCTTAATATGGAGAATTTTGTAGAGAAAATGAAATTTAAATTCTTGAGAAAGAAATTAAGAGAGAAGTTATTTCATAAACATGATTGTTTTCTAGATTTAGGATGTCATATCAGAGGAAATAGCTGAAATTTGTAAATTGGATGAAGGGGTTTGCTAGTTAGGACCACTTAGCTAGGTGTGAGTACAAAAGGACTATAAGAAAGAAAAGTTAGGTTTAGGGCAACATATTAGAATTTGCTGAAACTGCATGTGAATAAAGTAGTGGTAATTCAATAGAACTTCAAGAAAATCTAATTGTGTAGGAGATGATAGAAATTATTACTATTTCTGTATATTTATTTAAGGGATAGGTATATAATTTAAGAGTGGAAGTTCAATATCAATAAGTACCATTTGTGTCAGGATTTACAATTTACAGAATATTTTCATATGTAAAAAACTTGTGAGATAGGTTGTATTTTCATTTCATAGGAGCATAAGCTAAAAGAAGTTTCAGCCTAATTTAGGAAAAGTTAAATAAAAAAGAACAAATGAGGAGTTAAATAATAGTGTTGGTTTTTCTCTATACCTTCATTTTAATGTCTGTTGCATATATATTTGTAGTCCTATACTTGACTTCCAAATTCAAGGACTTGGTTAAAAAGGCAGGAGCACTTCTTTAGGTCAGTGCTTTTGAAATAAGTAATGTTGGTTTGGGATTGGATATAAAAACATGTTTTCTGGTAAGAAATGGCTTCATGTAGGAATTACCTTTCAAAAAAAGCTTTGAAGAAAGAAAAGTGTAAATTGGTAGATCAGATTCAAGCTGATTTGGAATACTAAATGAAAAGACAGCAGTTTTGATATGTGGTAATGAGTATAGGCTGTTGGATAAAGCTCAAATTCTTTTGGAATGATGTTCAAGTTCCCGTCCTTAAGTTAGCCCTTACCCACTTCTCTATCTTCATCTCTTTCTGCAGTTGGGCTTGTACCTGTTTTCCCCTATAGGTCATGTATGTTTGATCATCTTTTGTTCTCAGGATTCTGCATAAAAGTTCTATAAAATGCCTTCACTTTTGGAGGCCTTGCTTTATCATCTCAGTTCTCAGTAATTCTTCTGAGTTTATGTAGTATTTGCATTTGACACTCAGCATTTCAAGATAGCATTATTCATTGATAATTGACATAAACCATTTGGTTTTAAGTGGATGAGATTAGTTGTTTCCCCATAGTTTTCCTATCAGGTTTTAATGAAAACAAATCTTGGACTAAATTCTAAATTTGAACACAAGTACATACTTTGAGGATATGATAAAGTCCCAGCTCTATCCTTTTTGGCAACCTGGCAAGGTTCATTTGAGGCAGAATTAAACATTATTTTAGGGGTAGAATTTTTTTAACCATTATATTTGGTATCAGGCAGACAGAATCCTTTGATACAGTGGTTGATTATAGAACCTTTTAGAGATCAAATTTTGGGAGTTGTTCCCAGTGAAATGGACTACATATTTTACTAGATTCTTATCCACTATTTATGTAAAGAGGAAGCACAGGGGAATTTATAGTATTTTAGCTAGTCTTCATCCTTTACCAGTGAGAGTATACTTTCAAAAACAAGCCATTAGGTTGGGCGTGGTGATGCATACCTGTAATCCCAGTGTCTCAGGAGCTGAAGCAGGTTCACCAGTTCAAAGTCAGCCTCAGCAAAAGTGAGGCACTAACAACTCAGTGAGACCCTGTCTCTAAACAAACAAACAAACAAACAAACACAAAATACAGTTGGGGATACAGCCCAGTGACTGAGTGCCCCTGAGTTCAATCTCCAGGACCCCCCCCCAAAAAAAAAACCCAAAACAAAGCCATTCTTTTCATTATTAATAAGATGTCTAGAGTTGATCAGAGATAAGCACTTGGAGTAAATTCTTAGAGCCCCTTTTTGTTGTTTCTGTGCTTAGCTAGCAAGACCACCCAGGATATGATTTCTTTACCTGTGATTAGGATGGAGTTTAAATCATCAAAATGATCTCACACTGTCTGAGCTAAAGTATATTGAGGCAAATTATAATCATATTGAATATACTTTAGATTGCATGCAGAGAGCCAACCATGACTGTAATACCTGTTGAGTGCCTAGAGCAGAAGTACTCTCCTTAAAAGAGGTAGATATTAATTTCTCATTTTATAGATGAGGATACAGAGTGGCTCAGTATATTTTTCTCAGTTCATATTGTTTTGTGTTAGAACTAGAACTTCAGAAGTTCAAAAAAATTCTAAAGCTCCCTATTCTTTCACAAAACACACTTCCATCATTGTAAGTGCTCAAGACACCTTGTCTTTACTGATGATTGTGAGAGATATTCAGAGGTATATAGTTGTCCCTTAGTATGTGTAGGAGATTGGTTCTAGTATCTCATGCAGATTCTAAATTCTTTGGATGCTTAATCCCCTTGTGTAAAACAATGTAGTGTTTGTATATAACTTATGTACATAAGCATACTTTAAATCATCTCCAGATGACTTGTAATAGATAATACAATGTAAATGCTATGTAAGTCCTTATATCCTTTAGGGAATAATGACAAGGAAAAACAAAAAGTGGAAACTGGAGCAATATAGACACACCTATCTTAGGCCTAACCAGATAGTGTATATCAGCTACAATGTAACTTTTTTGCTGGGGTGTGTGTATGTGTAGGGCTTTCCACATGATAAGAAAGTGCTGTTCCACTGAGCTACATCCCCAGTACAGAAACCTAACAGGTTTAAAATATACTTTCTACCCCTGACTAGTTGAATCTACAACTATGGATTTGGAGGACCTACTGTAAAATAGTTTTGGTCATAGCATGTTTATCTGTAAGACAACACAATAAAGTGGAACAACCCATTAAAGTAGAGATGTAAAGTATCCCCTAATTGATTTATAAATCCAGTGAAACTTTTCAAAGTCTCAAAAGAATATTGTATTAATTTTGATAAGCCATTCTAAAGTTCCTTTGGTATGTAAATGTTACAAAGGCAGTTTGAAAAAAATGATGAGAGATTCTATCATCTATCAAAAAAATTTTTTTTAATATTTATTTTTTTAGTTTTCGGTGGACACATCTTTGTTTTTATGTGGTGTTGAGGATCGAACCCGGGCTGCACGCATGCCAGGAGAGCACGCTACTGCTTGAGCCACATCCCCAGCCCCTCAAAATATATTTTTAAAACTATAATTAATTAAAATTGCAAAAACTGGCAAAAAGAACAGACAGAAGATTAGAGAATCCAGAAACCTACATATAGAGAAGGGAGTATGTGTTGAAATATGGCATTTTACAACAGTAGGGAAAAATGTTCCATAAATAATAATTGGATATTTCACTATCAGTTTGGGATATAATACTTAAAAGCTGTCTTTATATCATTCACAAAATAACTTCTAGATAGATAAATGAATAAAAGTTAAAAAAGGTTGGAGGAAATTGAATTTTTTTTTTTTTTAATAATCTGAGTTTGGACAGAAGTAAAACAGTGGGCTCTTTTTTACCATCCAAGAAGAGAAAAATGAGAAGATTTAAGAGAACAGGTTTTTGTTGTCTGTTTTTTAAAACCTATTATGGGTGTTTACTGTGATACATTTCCAAAGATGCCCATGTCCAGTCTCTGAAATCTGTGCATACATTACTGAGGAACTTTGCAGATGTGATTAAAAAGGTTTTGCAATGAGGCAGTTATCCCGGGTTATCTTAACATTGGGAAGACAGGAGCATTGGAGTCAGTCAGATTATTTTAAGGACAGAAGTCAAGAGAGAAGATGATCCATTGCTGGCTTTGTACTTAAAACAGAAGGATACACACACCAAGGTGTGTTAACTTTTACACGCTAGAAAAACATTCTCTTTGAGCCTTCAGAAGGAATATAGACCTGACGACACCTTGTTTATTTAGCCCAGTGAAAGTGATTTTCAGCTACTGACCTTCAGAACTATAAATTAATAAATACATTTCTGGAGTTTTTTGTTAATTTTGTGATACTGAGGATTGAACTCAAGGTCTACTAGACAAGTACTCTTACCTCTGAGCTACAGTCCAGCCCTTTTAATTTTGACACAGGGTCTTACAAAATTGCCCAGGCTGGCCTTGAATTTGGGATCCTCCCAAGTAGCTAGGATTGTAGGCATTTGGGATTGATTACAGGAGTGCACCATCCTCCTGCCAGATGCCTATTGTCTTAAGCCACCACGTTTGTGGTACTTTGTTAACAGCAGCCATAGGAACTAATTGGTAAAAAGAGAGATGGAAAAGATTTTTTTCTTTTTTTGTCACCATTCTTTTGGAAGAATTAATTCCAAAGGAAATATATCTTTCCTCATGTAGTCTTTTTATTCTTAATTCAAGGAGTTCTTAGGGAATGAAATGCTGGGTAAAGTGGTCTTGGATTAGTGGATATGCACAGCTAGCTGCTCAGTAGATAGGGAGGTAAAGGGTTCATGAAGTGTCTGTTTTACTTAATGTTTTTTTAAGAAATTCCAATTTTAAATGCACATGAATATGTTAAAAATTAATGTGTAGTTAGAAATTTTTTAAAAAACTATGAAAATGAACGCTTGTAGGTAGGTCTTTGGTGGGGGAACAGGGTTCACCTGTTCTTACTTAAGCAAGAAACAAGCACAGAGTGTGTTATTCATGACCATGCAATAAACTTTTATTGTGTCACAGTTTCTGTAGGTCTGGAGTCTAGGGATAGTTAGCTGGGTGCCTTTGGTTCAAGGTCTCTAACAAAATGCTGTAATAGAGGGACCATCTGATTCAAAGAGCTCTCACAAAATTGTTGACAGCACTCAGTTCCTTGTGAACTATCTTGGATTATGGACCTCAATTACTTGCTGGAGCCTGCTTTTGAGACCTCTCTCAGTTCATGTGACAGTTGGTTTCTTTCCAAGTGAGAAGACAAGCACATATGCTGTAGTTTTAAGATAAAGTATTTTTGTTATTGTTGTTGTTTGTTATGTGATCTTGGAAGTGACATCTAATCACTTGTGCCATATTCTGTTCTTTAGGAGATAGTAACTAAATCTAGCCACTCCTCCCGGGAAGGATTTAACAAGGTTTGAATATCAGGAGACAAGGATGCTTATAGGCCATTGGTTTGGGGGACAGGGAATCTTATTTTGGTTTTCTCACTACTATCCATGTAACCCTGGTGACCTAATGTCTGAAGTCATTCTTTTCTGAATTAATATTTGTTTAATATCAAATTGGCAGGTTTTTGAGGATTAAATGAGATCATAGATATTTGGCACATAATAGATTTACAAAAGGATAGCTGTTTTGAAAATCAAATGGCCCCTGGGCTTTGATCTGATTATTTGTCTTAAAAGTTCCAAATTTTAACATTTTGAGAATCAATTTTAGTACTTCAGCTGAACTTTGAGAGAATTCCAACACAGCCTGATGATAAGAATTTTGAAAATACTCATTTTCTTAAAATTTTGGGGGAGGTTAGATGACATCAGATAGTTCTAGGTTCATATTGGTATTTTTTGAAGTTTTCAAAATCTTCATAGTTTGAGATAAATTTGAAAAAAAGATGCATAATCTGTGCTATCCGGAGGAAAAAGTCTCCAAGTTCAACTTACTGTAATTATGATTTGTATTTAAGAAGATGGTCTTTATAGAGGTTTGTTCATGTTTAATGTCGACCTGATTTAATGGAAAAATTAATTTACTATATCCCCCTACCTTTTTTATTATTATTATTGTTTTAAATTTGGAGAATTTAAATCATTTCTTGGAGCTGGGCGAAGTGGCACAGTGGTTTGGGAGGCTGAGATGGGAGGATTGTGAGTTCAAAGTCAGCCTTAGCAATTTAGTGAGGCCCTAAGGGATTCATGGAGACCGTGTCTCTAAATAAAATACAAAAAATAGACTGGGGATGTGTCTCAGTAGTTAAGTGCCTCTGAGTTCAATCCCTGGTACAAAAATAAATAAAATCATTTCTTGGATATAAAAATAATATAGTCATGTATTATTAGTATTGTAAAAATCATCTGCTAATAAAGTAGTAAAAATCTCTTTTTTAGGTGATTAAGCTCTGGTTAGAATGCTAATATTATGACATTTTTATATTCTAGACTAGCTGTATAAGCAGTATATGCCAAATATGTTAAGAAATATTCTGGGAAAATCGTGGCTGTTTAAAAAAACAAAAAAAACCCCAACAATTTAAGTCCTCTAAAAAAGCAAACAACCCAAACAATTAACTTTCATTTAGTTATTTGAAGTAATTTGAACTTTGATTCTGTAAGTGGAAATACACATTTAAAGTCTTTTTATTTTGATACAAATGATTTATTTTTATTATAAAATTTGTATGTTTTATTATGAGCTGTGGGAAGGAGAGATGACATTTGTCATCTTAATAGTTGAATCCTTCCTACTACTTGTTAGTAGGAAGTACATTTTTTGAATCATCCCAGAATAATATTCTTTTTACTCTCAGCCCTTCCACCATCTGCTTCCCTCCCAACTCCTTCACAATTATAGAAAACTAGGAAAAGGAGTACAAACAGCAAAATACTTTTTATTAATATTGGATTCAGTTTGTAATCTTTCTGTGGTTTCCCTTAGCACCCTCCCAGTCTTTGTTGAGTCATTGGTTATAAGAATTCTCTGAAACTCTTAATTTGTGTTAATCTCAATGTGCTTGAAAATTTAAGGTGGTATCATTTTCAAAACAAAGCTTATTATCATTGACCTGATCTGAGAATTTATTTTATATTTAGTGTTTTAATGATCAATTTCATTGAAGTTTATACTTTAATCATTAAAGATTGTACTCAGTGGGTTCATAGGTTGTTTTACAACCCTTCATCTCAGGCTATTTTCTAACTCTCACTTCTGGGTCATATTATCTTTGTGTTTCATGGAAATGAGTTTATCAGAGCTTTCTTTGGTCTAATACAGCTTTTCCCAGATAAATTACTGGCTTAATCCTACAACCTTTTTAGGTTGTACTAAATTGAGGCAGTTTGGGATATCTTATACAAGTATACTGAAGTTAAAACATGAATAATAATTGATATTGTTTTGGTATTGCATGAACAGTGTTTTTTAAAAGTTGCAATACAAATGCTGATTTTAAAAGTTTTTGAAATTGACTGTTAATTGTGTAGATTTAAGCATGATGCTTAAAATTGGAAAGCTCATTGAGGTTGTTCAGCTCCTGTGCTGTTCTGTTTGAAATATGGTTAAAGATTAAAAAAAAAAAATCTTTCCTGTGTGGTTTTTTTTGGTGGTTATAGATTTTATAAATGGCACCTTTATGATTTCTTTTGTTAACAGAATTCTGCTTGGTCAGAGTCGTGATGGCATTGTATTCAGCACTGATGACTATTTTCACCATCAAGATGGGTACAGGTATAATGTTAATCAACTTGGTGATGCCCATGACTGGAACCAGAACAGAGGTTTGTTTTGGGCCAAGTCTCCTGGGATAGAATATTTGACTAGGGAGTCAGAAGACCTAAGTTTTATTTTGACTTAGACTTTACCTGCTAAGTGACTTTGGCAACCATTTTTAATAGCTTGAGACCCAGTTTTTTCTTCTTTAAGAGTTGATGATAATTATACTTCTCTACCTGATGAAGGTTGTTGTGAAAAGCAGAGAATTTACATAAAACATTTTGTCAACTGTAGTGTACTCTGATATAAGCTGGCAAAATAATAGAAATATGGGATATTTTAATAGGCTTTATTTTTGGCTTTATGAATGAATTTTTAGAACTTTGATACTGTTGATGTATATTTTAAAAGTTATTTTCCTGAGAATAGTGCTAATGTTTTCTAAATTTTACTAAAATACCTATGAATATTAAAAGTATTTTTTAGGCTAGGGATATGACTCAGTGGTAGAGTATTTGCCTAGTATTGCTTGAGGGTTTGATCCCTAGCACTGGGGAGGGAAAGGTTTTTCTTATTGATATTGTTCTAAAAGAAACCTACTTAAAGGACTGGGGTTGTGGCTCAGAGGTAAGAGCACTCGCCTAGCATCCTTGAGCCACTGGGTTCAATCAGTCCTTAGCACCACATAAAAATAAAATAAAGGTATTGTGTCCACTTACAACTAAAAAACAAACAAACAAACAAATAAATAAAAAGATATCTACTTAATAAGTTTTTTAGAGGACATGAATCAATTTCTTTTCATCATGAACAGTGGTTCTTAACTAAGGCTTCACATTTGGGGGGAATCACTTGGGGAGAACCTCTTAAAACAAGTTATCACTGGGCCTCTTCTTTGGCAATTCTGGCTTAGTTGACATGGGTTGGGGCTTAGGAATTAGTATTTTTTCTTCTTTCTTTTTTCTTTTTGGAAGTTCTTCAGGTGATTCTAATGTGCAGTCAGAATTAAAAACCATTGATCTAGATCTAAGATCTAGAATTATGTAAGTAAATTTCAGATACTAGAAGTTATTTTTTTAAAGATGAATGTATTGATTAAACAAATAGCTTTTATTATAAGAAATTTTGAACCCAGAGTGTTGAGAGTATGATGAATCTCATCTATCTATCACCCAGATTTTTTTTTTAAAGAGAGAGAGAGAGAGAGAGAATTTTTAATATTTATTTTTTAATTCTTGGCGGACACAACATCTTTGTTTTTGTATGTGGTGCTGAGGATCGAACCCGGGCTGCACACATGCCAGGCGAGCGCGCTACCGCTTGAGCCACATCCCCAGCCCCTCACCCAGGTTTTTGTTATCAAGATTTTTATAGTTGTTTTGTTTAAATCAGGATCTAAACAAGGTCCTCAGTAGACTTGGTTTTATGTTTCTTTTAATTAATCTTTGTAGTTTTCTCTCTTTAACTCTCATGCTAATATAAAAAATGGGTTGTTTGTCCTATAGAATTTTTTTTTTAGTTGTTAGTTGACCTTTATTATTTATTTATTTATATGAGGTGCTGAGAATCAAACCCAGTGCCTCACACATGTTAGGCAAGCACTCCACCCCTGAGCTAAAACTCTAGTGCCTGTAGAATGTTTTACATCCTGTAGTTGTCTTGGTAGCCATTTAACTTGTTGTTAGCCAATTAATTTGTATATCTTTCTCCTGCATTTTCTGTAAATGAAAATTAGCTCTACATTGGAGTCTTGGTTATGTTCGGCTTTTTTTTTTTTTTTAAACAAGTACAGGTTTGGTTGTTCTACTCTTATATTGATGGCAAAATTGATGAAAATAGTTCAAAGGGACAGCCTGTTCTCCCCATTATCAACTTTCCTATCAACCTTATATTATTTTCTAAATCAGGCAACAGTTGCAAAATGTTGATTTTCTAGGTCTATTGTTCCTTTCATATTTAGGGGCTAGAATTCTTCTGCAATGAGGAACTTCCTTACAACTAAAGCTACCAACAAGGGTGGGCCATAATTATAGTATATATAGGAAAAACACAAGTGATTTTTTTTGATTATTGATTTTTTTAGAATAAGGAATTTCAGTGAAGATATTTTGAATTTAAAGTTTTCTGTTACAGTTCGTGTTTCACAGGAATGTTTAATTGTTGACTGACAAATAAATTTGAGCATTCCTAATCTAAAAATCTTAATCCATAATGCTCCAAAATCTGAAACTTTTTTGAGCATCATTTCAGCATTGAAAAAATTTCAGGTATTAGAGCATTTAGGATATTAGATTTTCAGTTTGGAGATGCTTATCTTGTAAAGTCTATGCAAGTATTCCAATATCTGAAAAATTCTTGAAATCTGAAATATTTCAGGTCCCAAGTATTTCACTTAAGAGATTCTCAGCATATATTGGCTTTGTGACCTCCTAGGATTTCTTCAAATCCAGACAGTGGCATAAAAATCTAAAATTCTTTTAATTTTTTAAATGTCATTGTTTTTAAATCAAATAATAACATTATAGTTCCAAAGATGTTTGGAATTATTGGTCTAAAGTAGGCTAAAAATGGAATGAATAAAGATAGTGGGCAGAACCAGTGTACGTTTGGACTGGGAGGTTTGTATGAGACTTTTTTTTCCTTTTTGCAATATTTAAGTAGAATATTAAAATTTTTATGCCATGTGAATTATGCTAGTTATACCTGCTGAATGTTATAATGGTGTCTGAATAAACTACTTATTTTATCATCAGTGTAACAAATATGGCTTTTTCCAAGGTGATTTTTACCTCTTCCAAGGTAATCATGTCTAGCAATTGTTAGACATTTTGAGTTATAAGCATGGCATATTATTTGGGCAAAATTACCCTTTTCAACAAATATTTATTGAATAATTTTAGATACCAGGCACCATTATGGGAGAGTCTTTCATCCTCCTATTTATTACTAGAAGAATTGACATTTAGAACACTTACAAATTGAAAACATCTTCAAAATGTCATTTTTCTTTATTAGAGTATGGTAGTTAATTTGTTGAAGAACACTCTGTTATTTGGTTAGCAAACTTTACTTAGGTGTTCTAGTTTCATGGAATGCAGTGGATTGTGATATTGGATTATTTGTGGAAAGAGGATAATCTCTACTCCTAAGTCAAAAATTATACGCTATTCTTGAATATAACTTCTTGTATGTTTAAGTCTAACTTTAGATATTAAGAAACTTATTAATAAGATATTTTAAGTGGAAGATTTGAACACTGTTTATGATTGGAGATGAAACACTGGGAGGTGATAGCATCTTGGTGCTAGCCCCAAGCCAGCACTTATAGATGATAAGGCCTTGTAAATTTCTTTTGGTGTTTAGAAATATCTTCCAAGTATGTATTCCACCATAGTCATTACTCCTTAACTAACCTTTAGAATTCCGTTTGCCCTAAATTTCTGTTTAAATGTTTTCATTATGTTGAACTTATTGGTCTGAATTCTGAGTCTCACATGCATTTTTGCCTTAGCCTTTTACGTTTTATTGGAAGTTCTTTTTTTATATACACGTCATTGACAGTGGCTTGCTGTGACAATGATTCTTACGTAATGGCTTTGGAATAGGAAGATACAGTTTAGGAAAGTTTTATTCTACCTCAACTCCCTTTTGAAAATAATATTCCTAAGAAATCCATAAAGTCAGTTGAACTATGGTATTTAGCCACCTGGTATAAAGTTATATTGGAAAGTACTGATGAATCTATAACTTTTAAAATATGTATGTCTTTCTTATTTCAGAAGCATTATTGGTACATTGTAGAAAATTAGAAAATACAGATAAAGTGTAAATATTCTCACCACCTGTAGATAAACATTTGGAGCATCTTAGTAAATCATCCTGCCCTTCCTGTATTTTGACCTATTTAAGATAATATGCATCTACTGCCTTATAACTTGGTGTTTGAATAATTTTTATCTTCCTATTTTAGTAAATTTTCACCTATTCTCATACTCAGTCCATATCAATTATAACTTGTTCATTTACCTTCTTTATTTCCTATAAATGAAAGTTAGCTCTGGACTGAAGACTTAATTAGCTTAAGTTAACAAAATGCCCTCAAAATGTTTTTTACAGCCAGTTTGTTAAAACCAGCATCCACTTCAGAGAATACACTTGGCATGTGGTTATGTCTCTTAATTCCATTTTTTTTTTTTGGTGCTGGGGATTGAACCCAAGGCCTTGTGCTTACAAGGCAAGCACTCTACCAACTGAGCTATATAACCCTAGCCCACTTAATTCCTTTGTAATCTAGTGGAATCCTTGTTTTTTTCATGGCACTGACTTGAGAAATTGTGCAATTTTGATTCTAAATACAGAGATGTGGTATTTTTTCTTAATGAGAATTTAAATTTTATGTATTTTAACCTAATATTTCTGTTTTTTTTAATTTATTTTTTATTTCAGCAAAACAAGCTATCGATCAGGGAAGATCTCCAGTTATAATAGACAACACTAATACCCAAGCTTGGGAAATGAAACCTTATGTGGAAATGGTAAATATGAGATATGAGAAGCATTTTAATTTTTTTATTTTCAATTCTTTGTATTCTGAAATTTTAGTTAAGTTGATCATATTATTAAAATATTTGTCTTTATTTTCTGAAGAGGTTTGTTGTTTGCTTAGTTTTTAAGAAATTGGGAGTTTTGCTTATGAAGGAATATGCTAGTCTTACTGGTTCTCCCAGACCTGAGGATGGTAATTGGAATTTGTCCAGTTGAGTAGTCTTAAATTTTTACAAACCATATTATTTTATGAAGTAGTATTTTTCTTGGTTGAACAAATTTAGAGGTAATTATCTAAATGAAATTTTTATCTGTTTGCTTTCTTTTTTACTTTAAGAACTATTCTCTGGGTTTTGTTTTCTTCCTTTCCTTTTTGTAGGCCATAGGAAAAGGATACAGAGTAGAGTTTCATGAACCTGAAACTTGGTGGAAATTTGATCCTGAAGAATTAGAAAAGTAAGGCACTCGAATTTTTATTGAATCCTTCTCTTTTTTCTTTCTTTTTGCCTTTACATTGGTCAATTTGTTTCCTAGCATTTTTGCTCGTCATCTTTGTTACTTGTAAATAGAGACCATAACTTTTTATTTTCTGTTAAAAGAAACATTGACTTAAAGGTTTTTGAGGAGCTTTGCCTTACTGAATTTTATTTAATTTTTGTTGTTAAATGTGTGTTGCTTTTTCTTAATGTGAATTCCTACACGATTTCAGTTTATTAAATGCTCTTGCAGATCCAGGAAACTTTGAGGGTAAAATTAGGACTTTTCTTTCTGTTTTTAGCTAGGTTAATTCTCTGCCTTTTCCTTCCTCCTTCAACTTTACTTTTTAGGCCCCATCATTACCTTTTTACTTTGTGATTTCCTCTTGTTTCTTCTTTTCCACCTTTACTACTATAGGTCCATAATTCTATACCAAGTTCTTTATAATTAGTGTGTCTTGGAATTCTGACTTTTTTAGGTTTTAGGAAGAGAATATAATGCATATATGTACTCACAGAACTCCTATGGAGTTTGGGGCAGCATGTCATAGTCAAACATCTTAATATTTCTTCACCAAATCATGACTAGTCAATCTAAAAATAAGAAAGATTCTACACAATCTAATGTCAGTTCTGAGAAGATTGTGTTGCTGAGTATAGGTATGGTTAGGTTTCTCTGCTATCCAAGTTAACAGAAAACTGAGTTTTCAGAACTTATTAGATTTCAAGACTTGTGAGAGATTGTGGATTTGTAGTACTTAAAACACAGCTCTTCAGTTTATGTTTGTCTTTATCCTTTTCCCCTCACATCACATTGAATTATCACATTGTTTTCATTCTCCATTTTTTGGAAATAGCTCTGTTGTTTACTTAAATTTTATATATTTGAAGTATACAATTCAGTGGTTTCTGTATATTCAAGAGTTATGTAACCATAACTCTTTCCCTCGCACTTCAGTTTGCCCTTTTTCAACTTTAAGCCTTTCTCCCTTTTTTTTTTTTTTTTTTAAATTTGGTGCTGAGGATTGAATCCAGAGCCTTGCACATGGTACGCACATGTTCTGCCACTGAGCTACATCCTTAGTCTTCAAGCTTTTATTCTTGGGGATCTGACTAATTTAATTCTTTTCCCCCTTGCCTTTTATTCCTTTGACATCTTTTCTGAGTTTTATGAGTTGTATACTAATATCTGGCATTTTTGCCTACCTAGCTGTGTATATGTATCACACCTGAGGCGGAAAGATGGAGACATTTTAAAACTTTTTGAGTTATACTAAATAAGTGTATGTGTAAATTGTCCCATAGTTATAGTTTCATTTACATTTGAGGGATTGTTGAAATTTATTAATTTCTTAATGTAATTTGATGTTAAATAACAAAGCCAGTTTGTTATGATAGCTAGCATAATTTGGCTTTTGAAGTAATTGAATAGAATTGTATAGAAGTGAATCATTGATTTTGTACCTTGTAGATTTAGTCATATCTTGCCAATTTTTAAGCTTGAATCTCTTGTATTTTTTTTCTACGTTCTCCTTTTTGCTTTTTTATGTCTTGAATGTAAACATCAGATTTAAAAAGTAAATATTTCTTTCTGCAGCCATTTTGTAGGAAAAATTTTAAAAAAGCATTAATAAATTGAGAACTATAGTATTAAGTGTAAAATATGTTTCTGAGTGTTTCCACGTCCAAATCAGGTTACAAAAAACTGAGGGTGAAATAAATTGTCTGAAGTTCTTTGACAGTCACGAATAGTTTTTAAACAACTTTTTGTTGTCGTAAACTCATACAGAAAAGTACTTAAAATATAAATATATAGCTTAAGCAAATTCTTATAAGCATATATGGATTTAGCCATCATCCTTGTCATGAGAGCATTACTAGTGCCTTAGAGCTCTTTACATTCCTCTTTCCAGTCACAATTACCTCTCATCCCCTAAAGCTAATTACTATTTTTACTTTGGTAATCATAGTCACTTCCTTGACTTTTCTTTTAAACTTTCATCATAGTAGCTCTACCTTAAAACAATAGTTTAATTTTGCCTTTTTTCAAACTAGAATCATAGTGTATATTTGTCTTGTTTCTTTAACTCAGCATTGGGTTTGTGAGATGCCAATTTGTTGTCTCTTAGTATGGTATTGATAATAAATTTTAAAATGTAATAGGAACCTGTCCTAAAAGATGTTTTTATGAGTCCTAAAAGTCCATGCAATTTTTCTGTAATACTCAAAATACCTCATAATCTTTGTTTTTTTTTTTTTTTTTAATTCTTGGCTCTGCTATGGATAGACCGAATCAGAGCCTCATACATGCTAGGCAACTGCTTTACCACTGAGCATGATTATATTTTTTAAAATAATCTTTGATTTTGTTATTAAAAGTGGGGATATATACTCATTGGGTCACTGAATGAATAGTTGGATTTTTTTTTTTTTTTTTTTTTTAAGGTACTGGTGATTGAACCCAAAGACGCTTTACCACTGAGTCCCAGTCCTTTTTATTTTGAGACAGGGTCTTGCTAAGTTGCAGAGGCTGACCTCAGACTTGTCTCAGTTTCCTGAGTTTTCAGGATTATAGGCAAGCATTACCGTGCTTGGTGAATAGGTAGTTCTGTGTGAAAAATGTGTAGTCATCTAACATGTTACCATGAGGCAGCCAATATAAATCTTTTTGTATAAAATGTTAGTAAATGAAATTTATCAGTATTTATTTCGTAATGTTATTTAGAATCTGGTTTCTGTGTCTTTAAAATAGGATAATCTCTAAGAATATACATGCTAAAATAAAATATTTAAAATCTTTTTTATTTTTTGGTAGGAGGAATAAACATGGTGTGTCTCGAAAGAAGATTGCTCAGATGTTGGATCGTTATGAATATCAAATGTCCATCTCTATTGTAATGAATTCAGTGGAACCATCACAGAAAAGCACACAAAGACCCCCTCCTCCACAGGAGAGGCAGAGGTGGGGAGGCTATTTAGGCTCACATAATGAAGTCTTTGTCACAGATAATCATTAAGTTGGCTATTTTCAGCTAACATTTGTTGCTTGCTCTTGAAAAAAAAAATTAGTGAGCCTGTCTTGAAGTTTCAATAGTTTCAAATAAAAAGACTGTGGTGCCTCGCAAAGGATGTTCCCAGCAAGTTGTTTAAATTCTAAAGTACAAATAAAAATTATATAAAATTGTATTTTAAATGTTTTTAATAATCTTTTGTGGCAGTACCTTTGGTTATTATGAAAGCCCTTTAGTAGAGTGGATAGGATGTAGGAATTTTTTTTGTACAATTGAATTTTAAGCTTTTCTATTTTACATGTTGGAACATACAAAAGTTTTTTATTATTCTTAACCTAAATCTAACTTTACATAAAATTTTAATATTTTTCCTTCACTGTCTTAAATATGCAAGAAATACCAATTTGTTATAGGACACCTTAGTTGATTCCCCTGTTTATACAGATAAAATTATATTTCAGGTAATTAATCTATGTGACAAAGTTATTTCCAAGCTGTAATTAGCATACCACTTTGTTCAAACACAATTCCCCAGTAAATGCTAGACAGTCAATGATGTATTGATCATCTAGGGAGTTTCCCCCATTATATTATGGATATTCCTCACATAATACATACATAGTCATCAACCATCTCAAGCATCTCTCTGCCCCCTGCACACTTGCCAATTCTGGAAGGAATACAGAGATAAGTCACTGTGTAGTAGGAAAAGCTCCTCAGGTGATTCCAATAATGTTTCACTTATCTCTGTTCAATTTGATGCAGCATAATTGTAATATAAAAAATATTTTGGATAGTTGCTTAGCTTTTGTTATATAAAATGATTTGTCTTACACAATGTTGTAGTTCTCCTAGTTCTGATTTTTTCTGTAGAGTCAGCTGAACTTCTTTCAGTGAATATGTTCCTTCACTAGAAAATTAAAAACTGAGATGTACTTCATTTCAGAGGTCTTGTAATTCATCCCTGCCTTTAAACAGACATTTTCTTAGTCTACGTAATTGAGCATTTCTCTTTACAGTACAAGGAAGGAAGCACTATCACCTCTTTTACTGCATTATTTTGCAGTATTTTTAGAAAGTATTTTTAAACTTTGATTTTACTTTTTTTTATAGGAAGAATTCCATCTGATTACAGTGCACTTTTTAAAAAATTAGCCATTATGATTCTGTATATATTTTACATGATATTTCACGGACCTTAAATTTATCGCAGATTAGCCCATCCTTTTCTTCATGTGTTGTTTTAAAATCTTTTCCTGTTCTTTTCAACTTTACTTTAAATGTCATCCCACATCTTTATATTACTTTTAAGTACCAAGGCTGAAAACTAGGTATAGTACTATCAGCAAGGTCTTTATTACATTTCCTTTAGTGAAATAAGAATTTGTATGTACAATTCAGTGCTGCTTACATTTGAATAGGTATTACCTTGCTTTATCTTGTTTTGCATATGTGTATGTTTGTATATATTTGTTCATCTTATTATGATGTAGTGGGAATGTGCTAACTCATGTTTTGTGTGTAAGTACATATTCATATATATCTCCTTTACCCATTGTTTTAATATATTCTTTTAGAGTAATATTTATTGGTATTTGGATTTATTGATTATGTAAATTAGCAGTTTGAAAATCATACAGAAGGATTGAATTTGGAGACAGATGAAGCAACTGTTATATATACTATGTGTCCTTTTCTATGTGTTTTTATAAAAAATTTATTTAGGAGTAATAATATTATAAATGTATAGTTGGAGAAAGTGGATTGCCTTTGGGAGAAAAAGATTATGAGGAAACATATTCATATTAGGTATGAAGTTTAAAATAAATTTACAGATTTTATAACAAATTCAACTCTATCTCCTGGTACTTCTGAGTACTAAATAGTAATCATCCAGACATCACTTATCATTACCAATCAGTTTTTAGAAATTATAAATGCTTATCAAGGCAGGGAAATTTAACATTCTGAAAAACTTTTATTTTTTAAAAAAAATTTGTTGCAGATGGACATAATACCTTTGTTTTATTTATTTTTATTCGATAGTGAGGATCGAACCCAGTGCCTCACATGTGCTAGGCAAGTACTCTATCACTTAGCTACAACCTCAGCCTGCCTTTTTTTTTTTTTTTTTTAAACACAAAGCAGAAGTAAATAGTTTCTGTAGGCATTGTGGCCTTTTTTTTTTTTTTTAAATAATAAGACAATGGAGGAATGATTATGAAGTAGAAGATACTAAAATCACTATTTTAGCACTTTGCTTGGTGCTAAAAATCTAAAAAAGTGAGAAATTTACTAATTTTTCATCAAAAAAAATTTTTTTTATACTCACATGTGGTCTTAATGCCCCTACTGCTAGACCTTCTAACTTCATCTGTAACACAAAAAATAAAGTTGGCATTAGTGATCCTGTTTAAGTAAGATGTATCCCACAGCTTCTAGTGTGGTTCAGTATGATTGTTACATTTAGTTTTTTCATAGACTTAGTATGAAAATAACTTTTTTATCTTTTGATCAACAAATTTATAGTTTTCTATATTTTATAATTTTGTTCATAAAAATACTCATAAGTTGAACCTCTGGTAACTAGTTTTTAAATAGGTAATCTTTATTTTCAGTATTAACTTTTCTGAAAGAAAATGTTAGCTTTTTATATGTTGTCTGCTTTTATTAAAAATAACATTATTTACAAACAATTGGGTTGTATTTTTTTGTTTTAGTGATAAGATTTGAGTATTTCAAGGCTCTTTATCTGTTGTCTAATATAGGTTATTGAATTTTCTAGTTTTGTATATAGATATAAGTTTTGAAAGGGCTGATGATTTATTCAAAGAATATGAAAGGTTTGTTTTGACTTTACTCAAAATTTTTTTTACTGCAGAGTAAAAAACTGGGTTTCTGAGTATTTATAAAGAAAATTAATGATGCTCTCTTTGGAAAATGTTGAAGAAGTGTAGTTAATGTACTCTAGTGCCTTGACTAGATAGATTTGTCAGTCTACTGAAGTTTATCAAAGTATTCTGACATGGATACAGTAATTAATAAGGGCTGAGATTTTTTAAAAAATATATCTACAATCCCCATAGATTATCTACTTAGTCATGACAAGATTTAGTTTAGTTTTTGACAATTCTTAATAGATAATTGGTAACAGTATAAGGAATAGACTGAGTTAGTGGTTTTTAGAGATAAATTTTAGGAGGTTACAATTTGTGAGTAAAATTTTTTTCTATTAAAACTGTTAGCTGTATTTTTGTAAATTTAGTGGGACGAAGAGATGATTTTAAGGGAGTAAGTATTCCATTTGGTGATGTTTTTCTTTTTATCAATTAAATAAGATTGGCATACTACTTTTTTGTTTGCTTATTAAAATGAAGGTACTATTATAAAACAGTTGGTTTCCAAGACTTGTAAAAGAAAGATAACCTGTTACTTAGACTCTTGTGAATGGCATCATTTTTGTAAGAGAATATTCACATGGTAAGTAGTAATTTTAAATCTGTTCTATGGAAGTTCTTTCACTGTCAAATTATGCACAGGAATAAGAGGAAGGAATAGAACAAATAACTCTTTGAAAAAGAGAGCCTCAACAATAAATAGTTCTTCTCATAACTATTTATTCTCTAGAATCTTATATATTGAAAAAGTTTAACTCTTTATACTTTATATACTCTTTAACTCTTTTAATAGAAGTTTTAGCCACTTACATTAGAAATAATCTCTCTTCCAAAAACTTTACTCTGTCGTTATCATACCTTGTCTCATTCCAGGTATGATAACTGCCATTGTTGTACATCATAATCCATCTTTCAGTATTTGTTAACTTCAGTAAGCTGTCTTAAGTATGAATAAGATAGAATCTTTTTTTTTTGGTACCGGGAATTTAACCCAGGGGTGCTTAACTACTGATCTACATTCCTCAGACCTTTTTGTTTTTTAATTTGACACAAGGTCTCTAGAGAGAGCTTTAGGCTTGGTTAAATTGTGGAGGCTGGCCCTGAACTTGGCAATCCTCCTGCCTCAGCCTTCTGAGTCCCTGATATAAAATAGAATCTTTTAGGTAATGTGGACAAAGCCATAGTGTAGTTCCCCTAATCTTAGAACTAGTCACAGTTACATTACTAAAATGTCATACCTGCTTTGGCGAATAACTGGACTTCGTGTGACAGTGTTGGTCTAATGGTTAATATTTTCTTGTGTGTATATGTGTGTGTGTGTGTGTCTGTAAAACTTTTTTAAATTAATGGGGAAGATTGAGAAATTTTGAGGAGCTACTAGACTGTTTCCTCTTTGTTAGTAATTAAGGAAGAAAAGAATAATGTGTGTTTTTTTACATTAAATTAAGTTAAAATTGTGTTCAACTTTAGTAAAGTTCATTTAAACATATTTATTTATTTATTTTTAATATATGTCTTTAGTTGTTGATGGACTTTTATTTATTTATTTATAAGTGGTGCTGAGACTTGAACCCAGTGCCTCACACATGCTAGGGAAGTTCTATACCACTGAGCCACAACCCCAGCCCTTTATTTTTTTATATTGTAGTTTCAGCTATTTCATATGGGATGTGTAAAGTTAGTGTTGGTTTTACCCTTGCAGGTAGTTCATCTGCAATTATCAATTATTGGAATTATTGTACAACTTTGTTACCACCTTTTCACTTGTAATTCTGAACTCTGAGGTGTTCTCTTTTTTTTTCTCTTCCTTTTTCTTTTTTCCTTTTTTTCACCCAAAGTATAGCAAAAAAAAAATTGGAATGAGTTATGGGATCTGCCTCCGCTTTTGTCTTATGTAATCATCTTAGAAATCATGTTTCCTTTTCTGTTATAGTCTTTTCCCATGTGTGTGTTTTCTTTTTCTATCAATTTTCTGTTTAGCAGTCTTCCTATAGCTTCGTAACATTTTCAGTGAAGATGATGGGATGGTAAGTGAATAAGACCGAATATAATCT